ACAGAACGAGCTAAATCTCGAAGAATCTGAAATCACGGAAACCTAAACACATTCAAATTATCTCTTTCAAAGAATGAAGAATCTAAAATCAACAAAACTATAGACATTCAGTTTATTTCTTTTCAAAAGTAGAGGTAAATCGAACAAGCTAAATCTTGAAAATCTCAAATAAGCAAAACCGGTTAATTACAAAGGATCGGGAAAGAGAGTACCTGAGATTATCAGCTAAACATTCAGATTGTCTCTAACGGAGAATCCGAAATTAGGTAGACTATATACAGTCAGATTAGCAATTTGAAAAATTAAAATTAAAATAAATAAATGGAGCGAGCTTCAATTTGGAAGACTGTAGAATCAGAGTGACTGAGAATTGATTAACTACGAAGAAATGAAAGATCGATAGAGAGAGAATACTTGAGTTTAACGGTTACGGAGAGAGTGAGTTGGATTTAGAGAGAGAGATATTTGAAATGAAAATGGCTGCGATTCCCGCCTGAGTAATTTTGAAGGAGATTTTGTGTGGTTTAAGTTTCTCTACGGTACTGACTGTACAGTTCGTGCTGATAAGTGCCATGTCTGCGGTAAAGTTTGTGCTGATAAGAGCCACGTCATCAGTGAAAGATGGAATATTGGATGGAAAATGCTGCACCCATTCACCCACAACTCCTTCTCACAAATTTTGTCTCACAATCCGACAACTCACAATAGATCCTACCTGAGTTTTACCTAATAAATTGTAGCTGATTAATTACGAGTTACCGGTAACGTTTGTAAGAAGAAATTGTGAGTGTAGCATTACTCATATTGGATCTATATGGATGCAACTTAATTGGGTGGGGTTGGGCTCAATCATAAAGAAGTTTTGGGTCTGTTTGTTACACTTTTTGGAAAATGTTATTATGAGAAAATGTTTTAAGTTAAATTAAGTTGAATCAAATCGAATTGGATTTGAATATGAAAATATGTTTAGTAAAATATCTAAAATTATATCAAAGTTGGATAAAATACTGAATAGTTGTTTGGTACATTTTTTGAAAAAGACTTTTAAGACAAAATAATTTGTTTGGTACATTTTCGGAAAAAATTTAGATTATTTCTTTAACCCNAATTGGATATGAATCTGAAAATATGTTTAGTAAAATATCTAAAATTATATCAAAGTTGGATAAAATACTGAATAGTTGTTTGGTACATTTTTTGAAAAAGACTTTTAAGACAAAATAATTTGTTTGGTACATTTTCGGAAAAAATTTAGATTATTTCTTTAACCCTCAACATTTGTTAATTTAGCTAAACATTATACAATAAAAGTTTAAAATTAACTAAAACACCCTAACCACCCAAGAGGACAGTCGGTTGTTAGCCACCACCGTTGAACGACAGCCGACAATCGCCGAAACGGCGCACGACCAGTTGGATCTAACCGGTTGTGCGCTGATATAGCCATTTTTGGCCAGATATACAGTTAGAATCTGGCCGTTGACAACCAAATTCTAGTCATTGTTAACGGCCAAAGATCTAGTCGTTGTTAATGGCCAAAGCTCGGATTGAATCTGGTCATCAACAGCCAGATCTCTAGCTATAGATCTAGTCATCAACTACCAGATCAACGCACTACTAACCAGATCTGGTCGATCGTGCACCGTTTTGACCATGTCGGCCGACAATTGCTAGCAGGTGGTGGTGGTGGTCTTGGGTGGATTAATTTTCATAGCGAAAGGAGAGAAAAATGAGAAGGAGATAAAAAAAAAATGTTTTCAATTTAATAGAGTTGGATAATCTGAAAACAAGTCCCTCAATCTTTCCATTTTTAGACAAAAAAATCTAACTTGAGTTAGATTAATTTTTAGATTGGATTGGCCCAATAAGTAAACAAACACACATTTTATTTTTTAATCCAAATAGGATAACAAAATAATGATAAAAAATAGTGTAACAAACAGGGGCTTTAATATTTAAGCCCGAGGTTAATTTTATTCGCTCCTTGTAGATGGTTAAGTAAAAAATGCTCTAATAATTTTGTAGAAGTATTTTTTATCATCTTTAATAACCAAAAAAACAAATCTAAAAAACATCAAAAACCTCTTATAAATATAAAAACTTTTAAGGTGTGTTTGGTTCAGAGAATGTTGTATTACTGAATATATTATATTAAGGGGGGAATAGATTACCTTGAAGATTATTAGAAATGTTATATTAAATGTGTTTGGTTAGATTGGAATAAATTGGTGGGTATGTTATATAGATTATTGAATTACCCTTCTATTTTAATATTATTATTTAGATTACTTTTTAACCCCCTATATTTGAGAATTTAGCTAAAACACCCTATAATAAAAGTTTAAAAATTAGTAAAAAGACCCCAACCACCTAAGCCGACCACCATTGCCAACCGACGACTGCTATGGTCAGAACCGCACACGATTAATCAGATTTGGTTGATCATGCATTGATTTGACTGGAAACATTCAAATCTATTCTGACCGAAAACGACCAGATCTATTCTGGTTAGAAACAACCAAATGGCCTTGGATTTAGCTATTAATGGCCAGATCAATGGATTTGGCCAGAAACGGCCAAAATAGATTTAGCCATTTCTAGCTAGATTGGTGCACGACCAACTAGATCTAGTTGGTCATGCGTTGTTCCGACGTCGGCAACAAGTGGTGGTGGCTAGATCCGACCACCAATATTGGGTAATTGTTTCTAAGTTCAAGGTGTTTTTGTCCTAAAAAATTTGTATATAATGACAAAATAATCTATAAATATTTTCGTAAATTGTTTTCAAAACAAGAGCATTATTGTCAAAAAAAATTAATAGTTAGGGTTATAATTGAAACAAAATTAATATTACTAAGTAATATTAAAAAACCTAAGAAAATGACGATATACATTCATATTACCGCTTATATAACCAACAATTATTATTATTAGTTTTGGAAGATTACCAGAATCTTATATTACTTGACAAGTAAACATGGTAATGCAAGTAATATAAGATAATATTATCTCAGTAACGAGGGATAACTCCAAACCAAACAACCCCCTAGGGCGTGTTTGATTTGTCATTTTGTATTACTTAATTATCACGTTTTGTTGTGAAGTAATATAAGATTCCGGTAATCTTCCCAAAACAATAGTAGTTACTTTTGGTAACATAAGAGGTAATTTGATTACCTCAATTTTCTTAGGTATTTTATGATTACCTGGTAATCTTTAATTTGTTACTATTTTACCCCATATTAATAATTTTTTCGACAATAATGCCCTTATTTTGAAATTAATTTACATTAATTTGCCATTACAATTTTACCCCTATTTAATTAAGTTTTTGGACAATAATGCACTTATATTTAAAAAAATTATAGGAAACCCAGGACTATTGCCACCCGCCATCCACCACTGTCGAAAGTTGACAAAAATGGCTGTCATGCGCCTATATGAATGTTTTTGGCCATATTGATGACCGGAAACTGCCAGATCTACAGCTGTTGACTGTTAATGACAGCTAGATCATGACTGTTAACAACCATAACTCTAGCCATTAACGACTGCCAGATCTCTGGTCATTAACAACGACTGGTTTTGGTTGTAGATCTGGCCATTTCCAACTAGATCCATCATGGATCTGGCTGGAAATGGCCATATCGATGTATGATCGACCATATCCCATCGGTCGTGCACCGTTTTGACCACTTCCGCTGTCGTTGGTGATGATGGCAAGAGGCCGACAGTAGCTTGGGGTGGGTAGGGGTGTTTTTGTTAAGTTTTAAACTTTTTTGGCTGTTGGGGTGTTTTAGCAATATCTCAAACATAAGGGGTTAAAAAATTTATTCAAAAAAATAATATTATATTAATTTTAAAAATGAGGGCGATTTAGTAAATTATATAATATACCCACCAATTTATTCATCTCAACCAAACATATTAATATAAAATACCCACCAATTTATTTCAACCAACCGAAAATATTTTCTTAAACATTCGCAGTAATATTCAAACCAAACACACCCTTAGAGTATGTATTTATTTAATCGTTTTTAATAATTTGACGTAAATATCTCTTAGGTGGCATATAAAATTAACCCTTTAAGCCAATCTAATATTTTTTTAAGCTCTTCTTTAAAAATAAATGAGTTAATTTTTTAATTAATATATATATATATTTTAATCTATCAAAAAAAAAAAAAAAAAAACACTCAGCCATTCCTAGGCACTAAAATTAAAAAAAAAAAAAAAAAAAGGAAAAAAAATACCAAGCTTATAATTTTATATGGTTTAAAGCCTAATATATTTCCTTACAAAGCTTATTTCTTCATCGAAAACTATCTTTTAATTTTCAAAAATGTTTCAAATCTTTCAAAATAAAGTTTGAATAAAAAAATACAGAATTGGGGTTTATGTAAACATGAATGGAATGTCAAAAATATCTATAAAGAAGAAAAAAATACTTGTAAGTATTTAAACTATTTAAATATTTATATGAGTGGTGTTACATATACAAACTAAGTATACAAACTCTTATATTAAAACTGATATGTCACAACTTTTTTACTGGCTCATCGTTAATTTATATTAAATTAGCCCTTATAGAGTTTACTTATGTAAAAATTCATCCATTCATTTTGTATCAAAAAGTTTGTACAAAATCTAGCCTTGTTTTGTAAGAGTCAATTTTTTTTGGCCCCTCGATATATTGCTAAATCAAAATATCACAGTGATTTTCAATAACTACCAAATACCTCCTTGCCATTAGTAAAAATTCCTTTAAATTTAACTTAGAGAAGACATTTTAGTCTTTACATAAACTTGAAAGAAAGAAAAAAAAAAAAAGTCTTTACATAGTCTAGCAACATGTTTTTAATTATAAAAGTGTAGGGTTATGTTATTTTTCTTAAACCTTAGGGGGCTAAAGGTAATTTAGCCTTTACTCACATCACGTCTTCTGTTCTGGGTGCTTTCAGTGATCCAGTCCATATATATCAAATCTTCTTCACATCGCCAGTTTACTTCCTCTGAAACGGGTCGCGTTGTAATTTTTCAAGTCGGGCCAAACCCGACCCGATTCGGTCTCTTTTGCCCCATATTAGATCCAATCTTACTCCGGTCTTCAGTAAGCTTCCATCTTCGCCACAAAACCGAAACTGTGCGAGGTTCGTAACACTTTCTCTTTGATTTTACATTTCATTGGTTTTGAAGCTCGCCAACTGTTTGTGAATACGTCTCAGCAGAAAATTTAACGTTTTAGATGATTTTTTGTAATTTTAGGGTTTTTTTTTGTGGCGGGAAGTGAATGGTTGTTTCTCCCTTGCTTGTTTATTTGATGTTATTTCTGTGGGTCTTTTTGTACTGGCACTTATAGTACCGAACTACTTAAGAACTACAGGCCCGTTAAGGTTACCGGAATGCTGCCGACCGTTTATGGGCAGTTTATATTGCTGGGACAATGCATAGTTGCCCACATTAATGTTGTTTCTTATTTGTTATTATGGTAGGTATCAAATTGATGTTGAATGTTAGAATGGTAACAAGTATGTTATTATAATTTTGTGGGTTGCTTAAACTTTTGATCCTGATAATGGAACCAGGGCTGCCGCTCTAATCATTGTACTGCAACTATCCCTTGTTTTAGTTGGTTTGAGTTCATGAATTCATAAAGTTTTTGTCATCTTAGCAGCCAGTGTGGAGTGTAAATGGAGACAGCATTGAATGAAAGCACACTGCAGTCGGTTGATGAACATCATCCACTTGATCAGCAGCATCCATTTGAGCAGCAGCATCCTGTTGAGCAGCAGCATCCTGTTGATCAGCAGCACGTAGTTGATCAAGAGCATTCAGTTGATGAAGTGCATTCAGTTGATCGAGAGCATTCAGCTGATCGAGAACTTTCAGTTGATAAAGAGCATTCAGTCGATCAAGAACATTTAGTTGATAAAGAGCATTCAGTTGATCAAGAGCATTTAGTTGATAAAGAGCATTCAGTTGATGAAGAGCATTTAGTTGATCATAACCAGGACAACATGGTTGCTGATGTCTCGAATCATGGGTACTTGCTACTTTGTTGCATAGTGCTGGATTAAGAATATATCTTACTTTTATTGTGAAATTACTTAGCATATTAAGGGTGCTTTTGGGTTTGTTTGTGTTGAAAGCATCTTTTAAATGCTTTTGGGTGAAAGTCATTTTTATGAAAAGCACTTTCTGGGAGTACCTATGATATGTTCTCCAGAAAAAAACTTCAAGTGTGTCTCTTATCTAAATTTTGCTTTCTTGGGAACACTTACCAAGGGTTCTACTACACCTATGGAGGTCATTTTTTATTTTGGGAAAGGGAAGAAGGCAAAAGGTCTTTGGAAGTGTGCAGTTCTAGCTCTTTTGTTGCTGATTTGACAAGAAAGAAACAAAATAATCTTAAGATAAAAGGGGGAACTAGCCATTGTGCTATGAGGGGAAAGTAAAATTTTTGGCATATCTTTGGGCTTTGGTTTAAAAAGACTTTCAGGCTATATCTTTCTTCTTTATTTTTCATGATGGGGACGGGTTCTGCTATGATTTTGTTTCATTATTAGATTATCACACTGCGATTTTTTTTTCCTTTTCTGTTTTCACAGATTTTATTTACACCTTTACAGTTTTGGGAGTCATTTTTATAGTTTTTTTTTGTTCCTTCATATGGGGGTAGCTCCTTTGCAGTGGACAGATGGTCAACCTTTGTACTTCGTTTTTCTTTTAATACCATATTTCTATGTTTCCTTTTTTTTTTTTTTAATTAAATGAAGAAAGAAAAAAAGAAAGCACCGATGAAGTGGTTCTCTTAGAAGTACCAAAAAAAAACCCTAAAGAATTTTACAAAAAGGTTGCTTTTCAACAAATGCTCCCAAAAGTATCATTATCTTTACTTGGTCTTTTTTATGTTTTCCCATGCTTCTAGTTTTGTTTTAATACCCATGTTATAGTTTGAAGCTTTTTGTGTTTGGAGACATAGTGAAATGTTATATTAATCTAAATAAATGGTTAAGTTTTGTGTTTTGGCTTTACATGCCTGCTAATATTGATCAATTGGCATATTTTTAGTGGAATCATAAAATTTCTTCTTTCAATGCAAAACAATTGCCATGCTCAATGCTGGTTTAGCATATTGGGTGGGGAGTTTTTTCATGGTTGAGATGCTTCTGCTACTTTTCATAAAATCACAAAAGGGTCATTGATTCCAGGGGGGAGTTTTTAGTGAGTGGGGAAGTTATCAAATGATGGACCCAGGGAACCACCTCATAACTTCCTTATAATTATTCAATTTTGAATTTGTAGTCATATGCTATGAAGTTAGCCCGGTAAAATGACAATGAATGAGCAGGGTATTTGGTATTTGGTTCTTTTGGAAGAAACATATCAAAATTCTTCTCCGATTTATATTTTATATTCTATTTAAGTTCCATTATAGTGTAACAGTCAAAGAGTTTGTTGCTTATCTATCACCTACTAAAGTACTATGTAATCTGTTCATTATGCTTTTTTTTTTTTTTTTTTTAAATCATTTTAACTATACTAAAATTGTATTTCACTTTGATTTCAGAGTTCCAGAACCAAATCCTGATTTTAATGAAGAAGAAGTTAGACACACACTGGAAGTCATTGCATCCACCGGGAAGTTTTGGTATGACTTAGTCATATTCCCTTATTTTAGTAATGCATAGCAATTTGAGTGCTTGTGTATTGATTTGTTCCTTGCTATATTATGTTGCATATTATGCATAAGCAAATATTGCACCTCCTTTCAACCAAAAGAGAAAAGTACAAACACATCCTCGTATATATCTTGAAAATAGGTTGATTTCTTTTTTGCCGTGTTGACTATGATTGCTCACAATAGCATTGTCTTCCTAGAAATCCTTTTATTATGTTTTCATCTTGATCAACTTTCAAATTGACATGGCAGTAGTTAGTACATGAATAACATAATGCACTCGAACCTATGTTGATGTTTGCATTGGGTGTATTTCGCTCCTCCTAGTGGATCAGCCAATAGCTGTAGGCACTGTAGCAATTTACTGCTTTTATAGAGTATTTTGTTTGACAATTAAAAGAACCTACATCAATTTATTCATTCATTAAGATCATACCAACTTAGGAAAGAGAAGTCTAATCCAAACAATATCTGTTCAAATGATTTTGGAGTTTAAAAAAGTTGTCTTAAACTCTTATGAACCGTACGTGATGAAATGAGAGTGAGATAATGGCAATACAACCGCAACTACACAAGGCTACTCCAAGAACAATCGGCCAACGCTTCAGTCACCTTGCACAATCTCGGCTAAACACACAATTGTAACTAAACAAATCAACACAACAAGTAATAAAGATAAATGCTAAAGGGATCCAAGGCCTAAAGGTTATACCACCAGCCAAGGAGATCCACCACCAACCCTCAACAAAAGTTGGATAAAGGCAAATAACATTCTCAAGAGCAACTATTTTTCATTCATAAAATCTGCCTCTTACAATGAAAATTTGCCCCTTATAAAGGCTTTAAAAGGTTTTGTCCTAATTTAACAATTGATCTAAACCATCCATATGACACAAAATAACTATAGTCAATAATGACCATACATGTGGCGGCCTGAAGAGACTGAGATTCAAAATAGTTCAAAATTACATAGGAAAATGCAAATAAGAAATAACATAAAATACTTATAGTCAAATCCTAGGAGAAATCAAAGGATCACGTGACTTCTCTCGTTGGGTAAGGGACAATGAGCCGTCCAAGTCTTCCATCCTTATCCATGCCAATTTGGGAAAGAGTGTGACAACTTACATGTGACTTTCCTCTTTGGGTAAGGGACAATGAGCCGTCCAAGTCTTCCATCCTTATCCATGCCAAATCGGGAAAGAGTGTGGCAACCTATATTTCCTTGTCTCTTTTGCAATTAATGCTCTCACATGACTATTTTGACTCCCCTTGGACTTCTCTTTGGTGCCCAAACTACTCCACATAAGGATTAACTTATGTGATGAGATTAGCCCTAAGTAAAGGATCAAAACTCACAAATTGGGCTGGATTGGGCTTGGAGCAATTAAATCCATCTTGAGTTATTTTGCCTCCTTAGATCGACACATCACTAAGGGTTTTGTCCCTTTGGGCAGAAATTTCACAAGTGTTTTTGACAACCATGATGGCTTTATTTGCATCATCCTCCCCGGGTTGGATAGGATTTGCCCTCAAATGCGCAAGTTGATGATCCTCCAAGTATGGAGACAAGTCCCCAATGTTGAATGTAGCCGACACCCCACCAAACTCACTTGGGAGATTGATCTTCTATGCATTGTCTCCAATCCTTTCAAGGACTTCAAAAGGACCATCGACTCTAGGTGCAAGCTTGCTTTTTCTCTTTGCTGGGAATCTCCCTTTCCTCAAGTGAACCCAAACCAAGTCACCCGGTTGGAAGTGGGCTGGTTTTCTATGCTTGTTGTTCCTCTTTTTGTACGTTTCATTGGATTTCTCTATTTGCACTCTAATGGATTCATGAAGCTTCTTCATTGCCTTAGCCTCCTCTTTTTCATCTAAACTCACTTGGGCATCAATAGGTAAAGTAATTAGTTCAATGAGAGTGATAGGATTCATACCATAAACGACCTCAAATGGAGTGTGGCCATTACTTGGTGACTGCTTGTTGCACTTGGTGATCGGTTGTAGGCAAATCTGGCATGTGCAAGCTTGATGTCCCAATCCTTATCTTCTCGTTCGCCATTATTCTAAGGAGAGTCCCCAAAGTTCGGCTGGTCATTTCGGTTTGGCTATCGGTTTGGGGATGGTGAGATGATGCAAATAAGATCATCATGGTTGCCAAAAACACTTGTGAAATTCCAGCTTAAGGGGACAAAGCCCTTAGTGATGTTTCGGCCTAAGGAGGCAAAATGACTCAAGATGGATTTAATTGCTCCAAGCCCAATCCAGCCTAATTTGTGAGTTTTGCTCATTTACTTGGGGTTAATCTCATCACATGGGTTAATCCCCATGTGGAGTAGTTTGTGCGCCAAAGAGAAGTCGAAGGGGAGTCAAAACGGCCATGTGGGAGCATTAATTGCAAAGGGGACAAGGAAACAAAGGCTGCCACACTCTTTTCCGATTTGGCATGGACAAGGATGGAAGATTTGGGTGGCTTATTGTCCCTTACCCAAAGAGGAAAGTCACATGAAGGTTGTCACACTCTTTCCCGAATTGACATGGACAAGGATGGAAGATTTGGACGGTTCATTGTCTCTTAACCAAAGAGGAAAGTCATGTGATCCTTTGATTTCTCTTAAGATTTGACTATAAGTATTTTATGTTATTTCTTGTTTGCATTTTTCTATGTAATTTTGAACTATTTTGAATCTCAGTCTCTCTAGGCTGACATATGTATGGTCATATGATTGACTAGAGTTATTTTTTATTTTGTGTCATATGGATGACTTAGATCAATTATTAAATTAGGGCAATACCTTGTAAAGCCTTTATAAGGGGTGAATTTTTATTGTAAGGGGTAGATTTTATGAATGAAAAATTGTTGCTCTTGAGAGTGTTATTTGTCTTTATCCAACTTTTGCTAAGGGTTGGTGGTGGATCTCATTGGTTGGTGATGTAACCTTTAGGCCTTGGATCACTTTAGTATTTGTCTTTATTGCTTGTTGTGTTGATTTATTTAGTTACAATTGTGGGTTTAGCCGAGATTGCGCAAGATGATTAGAGCTTTGGCTGATTGTTCTTGGAGTAGCCTTGTGTAGTTGCAGTTGTGTTGTCATCATCTCACTTTCATTTCATTATGTACGGTTCAAGTGGTATTAGAGCTTGGGTTGGTGAGTGAGATTCCTACCTTCTTTCATCTTGTTCATGTTTTGATTTGTGTTGGTTGGCTGGAAATTTTGAAGTTGAGAGTTAAATTTTTGGAAATGAAAATGTGAGAGCTCTTGAGAGAGTTTTTTTATTTATCCTTTATCCAAGTTATCCAAGTTCTCTCAATGCTTGATGGTGGAATCCAAAACGTTTTGGAGACCCTTGGCCGGTGGCATTGCCTTTAAGCCTTGGGAATTTGGCTTCTATCTTGTTAGGGATGTTCCATAGCCGGTGGCGTAGCCTTTACGCTCTGGAGATCATTGACACTTATCTTTATTTTATCTTGTTATTTGTTGTGTATTATCTTTAATTTGCCCTTTACTTTATCTAGTTCATGTATTTTAGTGTGTTTTGTATGTTTGTGTTGTTTAGAAGAATTACAACTCACTCTAAGCTTCTGAAAACGCATCATATATTGGAACTTGTTTAGGGCAACTTTTGTAAGGCCTATATAAAGGCCAACTTCTTATTGTAATGTTAAAACTTGTTGAATGAATTTGAAGTCTCTTGAGAGAGCAAATACACTATCTTTTATCCAAGTTTTAGCCTAACTTGGTGGTGGATCCAAACCGGTGGCTCAGCCTTTAAGTTTGAGACTCTTGGCGGGTGACATTGTCTTTAAGCCTTGAGATTGGCTATTGTGTTAACTTTTGTGATTGTTTGAAGTTTGTGTTGTTTATTGTGCTGGCCGAATTCCACCTTTGGTGTTATTGTTGTGTTGCCAATTTGTGGAGTTATTGCGGAGTAGTATTTGATATCTGAATTTTATGATTGTTTGTGTGTTTTGGGCTGTTGGAAATCATCTTTAATTCACTCAAACTAAGTCAAAACGGATCATCTTACCATTAGATTCTTTTAAAAACAGTTCCTTTATAGAGTTTTATCTGTTAGATGCTTGAGAGGAGGAAGACGTTTCTCCCCCTTCTTATTACTTATGCAAGCACAAAGTGAATATGAGTTAGCTTTGGGTCCAGCCGATGAAATGTCTTGAGCTATCTTCTTTTGTTCTTGTGGTTTCTTAAATCAAGTTGAATTGTCTCCATACTTGTAAATAAAGGCACTCACCTTGGTTATCAACAGTGAGGCAGCAGCACCAACACTGTTATGGTGCCACTACTTGGTCTGGCATTCACTGGAATGCTTCTATTCCATCTCTATTTTCACCACTGTCATTGTTGTCCTTGCTTTGTGAGAAAGATTTGCGTGGTGCCTTTTTTATTTTTGTGATGGGCTAAGTTTTGGGGGAAAAGGGTTAGGGGTACTTATAATTTCATTTAGGTTTTAAAAGGCTCGATATTGGTGGTTATTTAGTGGTTGGAATCTGAAAGTCAGGATGAGCTGGGGTTTGATAAGATAATGAATGCTAAAGTTGTACTAAGGCTTATTGTTGCTTGTTGAGGGATGGTTAAGGCTAGTTAGAAAATATGATTCAGACTAGGGTTTAGAGCAATTAAAGCTAGATTGGATAGATGTAGGAAAATACTGAAGTGTATTCCAGAAGTATAAGAAGAAGGAATAAGAACGGAAGAGGATAACATTTACAGCTATCTTTGAGAGAACTCAATGAGAACAAGAGAAATTCAAGCCCCTGTTAATTATTTCTGCCATCCTAGTAACAATATTATTCTTTTTAAGATACCAATTGATCTGTTGTTATATAATCCAATATTGGATTCTGTGATGCATATACTGAACTTATTGTCATAATACAATCAGGTAGTTCATGTTGATATTGAATATTAATGGCAAGGTAACGAGTAGTATAAGAGTTTCCTGGTCGTAGATAGACCTCTCCTTAACCAGTCTATGTGGTGGGCCTGCAGAGCAATAATCCAGCTAAAAGGATTAAAGCTCCTTTTTGATATTAAATCTTGATAAAGTAGTGTACCACTGCTTTTTGTTTATTAAATTGATTGTGATTGAATTTGGTGAAATCTCATGGTGCTTGCACAACTGCTGTCATGTTATAAATTTTGAACCATGCTGAGAATTTGTTTTCCTTAATTGTCCTTTTAAGGTCTGAGATGTGAATACTGATTATGTACGATTTAGTACCTGTATATAACCGTGTGCACCATATATTTAGTATATTGCTCTTCAATCTGTTTGTGGTCATATACTTTGGAAGTTTTCTTGTTTTTGTCTTATTTTTTATGTGCTCTATTTAAAATACACAAAAGGGTAAATGCAGTGGTAAATATGGATTCCCTTTGATTAATAGAGTGTATTCTACTGTAGGCATGATTGGGACAAACTGAAGAGCATGCTATCCTTTCAGCTGAAGCAGGTATGGGGAGGTATGCCAGTATGTGGGTCTTAAGTTACTTGACAATGGTCACTTGCAGTTTTTAAAACTCTTCCAATGGAAGTGCATACATCATTGTACCTGCAATCTTTTAGTTTACAGTTGATGCTCCTAATTCCTTCCTCTTGTGAATTTATCATGAAGGTCCTGTCAGAATATCCCGAGTCACAAATGACTACTGAGCAGCAGACTGCTTCTATAGGAGAAACTTACCCTGAACTGTTGAAGAAATTGGATGACGGTATTTTTCTAATTATTCAGTATTACTGCTTTTCTTGCCATACTGAGATGAGTAATAGGCCAACTGTGAAAATTATGGATAGTACAAAGTGGGTGATAATAAGATAAGACAAGTTCCTTTTGAGGCTTGTGCTTTGATTGAAGTGAATTCCGAAAGGGTTGAACTTGGGTGACTACCCTATTACTGATTGATTGAGTTGGTATCTGTCATCTGTTATCTTGCTTTTATGGCAAAATAGAAAAATTCAGGAGAATGGAAAGATTAGGTGGTCAAGCTGTTTTTTATATGAATAAGAGAGACCAAATATACTTAACATTGATTTCTTTTGCCCACTTAGTGTGTTCTGTGATTGTTCTTTCTTTTAATTTGAAGTATTTAAAGGCCACGTTTTGGTAATAGGAAGCCCAATTTTTATTAATGGTTGATGGACTTTGTAATTTCTGAGACTTATTCTTTTTATGATAAAACTATTTACATATGTTTCTTTATGCTTTACAGCACTTCTATCTTTCGTTGAAGGTCCTCCATTTACCCTGCAGAGGCTTTGTGAGGTTACTATCTTTGTCTACATTTTCATACATATAGTTGTTCATATTTATTGAGAAAATGCCCATTTTTACCAAAAATTGAGAAAGTTGACATTGATGTCCAAATTTCTATATAAATGTAGTTTTATAATTATCTTGAAGACGATATTTACTTTCGACCACTGTGGACCAATGTAATTTGTGCTCTGATTGGAATTTCATCCACTTTCCTTGACCATTGAGTTCCTTTTCTGCATATCATCACTCCCTGATTTTCCTTCAGCTCATGGTTCTGAAACTATCTCCCAATTTCTCAAGTATCCTTCTCCATTTTCCCAATCCCTAATTCTTCTTTCTTTTCCTTGTCACTTTATTTGGAGTTTTAAAAAGAGATCAATAATATGGTCGCAAGCTTGATAGTACCCTTTACATTATGAAATTTTCAAATCAAACATTACCAAAAAAAAAAAAAAAAAAAAAAAGCATTACCTGCGAACAAAATCTAGGGTTTGATTACCATACTTTTCTGTTCTCGGTTTTATATATTATACAGCAATAACATTTGCTACTAATGGACTCTATCTTATCTTCTAATTTGGGTTTTGTATTGAACAGATCCTTTTGGCTGCACGAAGTATCTATCCAAATCTCTCAAAGCTTGCTTTGGCACTTGAAAAAGTATGTTGCTTGATAAGACATCTATTATATATTTATATCTTTTTATTTTGGCGTGAGCCTTTGACACATTTGGTGCCGTCAATGTAATGAAGTCACGGTGTACCCTACTTGACAGATAAAAGGAGCTAAAAATTGGAGATTTTGAAAATATAAGATGCTATGAATTCCAAAATTCAAGAGAACAGTTGTGCCATGTTTTTTGGCTTACCTTAGTTCATTTTCTTATTCTATTTTTTAGCTTATTATTTTGCCTTTGGCTGGTTTGCAGAATTTGTCAGTGACATCCACACTGACTGTTTGTACCGATCCATATCCGCAAACACCGATGCAAGCTCCAAATGAAGCAGAAAAACCAAGTGAAGAACTCCAGTTGCAATCAAATTCAGTACAGAATGGGGTTGAACCTATCGTTGAAGACAGGGACGAGATAATGGCCGAGGTAGATCAGGGTGATATTGATGATGAAATGACCATTGATATGGAAGCTTTAGAGGAGATAGTCGGATCGTCAGAAACAAATGCCACACCGACAGCGAATTCCTAGGTTTGCAGTTAGTCTTTCCAGTTGATTTCATACCCGTCTTTACAGATCTCATGGTTCCATAAATTGTTGCTTAGAGAGGGACATGGCTGAGGTTCATATTTCTACAAGTTGTATTGAATGATGGGGTTGGTAAACCTTCAACTAAAAGGAGCAAGGAAAATGCTAGATTCTTTTTACATGAAATCACCACAAAATATTGCTATTCTTGTATTTCCTTGGATGCTATGCATTTTGATCCATGAGAATTGAGGATTCTTGGCTTATAAAATCTAAAATGTTTCAGTCGCCTTGGTAAGTTTATGAATGCTAAAACAATTCTGCTTTATTTTTTTTTTTTTTTTAATGGAATTTGTAGTAGAGAAACGGCGTCATAGTATTTATAACATGATTTTGTTAGATCAAAATAGGGATATATTGGGGAAGCCTTATTCTAGTACACATTGTTTGGAATTGTTTATCTTGAGGGTCTACTCGTCACCATATGTTAAAATTCACATAATCTAGAATTCTCATCTAGGTTAATGATTCTCGAGCCATTTGAGGTTTAATTTAATAACACAAATCGCCCAACGTTTGAGAATTATCAAATATCCTCTTGTTGTTTATGAGTTGTTTGAGTCGTGAACTGACTCTAATAAATATTTACTCTCTTGTGCTCTCAGTTGTTGTTACTCAAAAGACCTTCTTGTTATGGGGATTATGCACTTAAATATGTGTAATGTGTAAAAGAAAGCACAAAAACATATAGGTTCAAAAGATGAGATCATGGTAAGCTGGTGACTGAATTTCTAAGATGAAAAATTGGGTTAACTTATAGATTACTCACTTCAATATGATTTAAGGATAGAAGCCTCACAATAAGAAATGGGTGTTTTCCCGACTCCGCCTCGCATTCCTCAAGAAAATGGAGCTGGGGACAGAGGGAAAAAAAAGGTCCCATCCTCGGAGACGGTATAGATGTCTCCCTCCTCTGCACAAAGTCGCCCGACCTGACCCGACTTGGATCCTTTTTTACTAAAAAATTGTAGTGCAGTTTTTCTTTCCCTGCAATCTCCCAAAAAAAAAAAACCAAGCCGAATCTGTCTTCTCTTCCATTGTGCAACTTCGGCTTCTTTCCGTACCCAACCTGTCGATTCCCAGAACTCCGAAGTGGGGTGTTGTCTATTCCATTCTTCGTCGCCTCGTTCAAGCTAAACGTTGAGTGTTTTCGTTTTTGGACTAAGAAGTAGAAGGTTCAGTTCTCTGGTGGGTTCAAGATTGGGTTGATTTGGAGGCTTTTTTATGTTTGTGGTGGTTAATTTCTCAAATTTGCTATGTTTTTAGAAGCTCCACTCTGTTTGATCATTGAAGTTTGGTTAACGGGGCTTTTTAGTTTTCATGTGATCCGTTTTATAGACTGTTTAGGGTATTTTATCAGTTTCAGCTTTTGTGATTTGAGGTTCAATTCATGAACCATTCTGATGCGCAATTGCATTCCACATTGTGTTTGATAGTTGTGTTTGAGGATCGAAAATGCTTTGACCGGGGTGGGACGGAGGTTCCCCATCATCCCCGTCCTGGCCCTGGCCCCTACACTCATGCCTAAATTATCTACCGATTATAGACATAATATTAATAGGATGGATCGTAATCCTTATTAAAGAATGACTTTTGGATTGGGGATGATATATATATATATGTGTACTAGGCTCGATTTTATCTTGTTAAACAATGGCTTAAACATTAGGTAGGTCTTCAACGTTATTATATATTTGTGATTTAAAAAAAGAAAAGAAGGTAGAAGAAGAAAATACCATTCCTAATGTTGAAGGCATTCTTAGCTTAAAGGGATAATCAATTTATCTAGTTCATACTTCATCTTATGATTCAATCCCTCGGGAAGAAGTTATTCCTTTATTAATTCTAGTCCAAAGTTATTATCTTATAATCTCATTTCCCCTATAGCAAGAGAAGTTCCTTCTCTAAGACTATACTTCTCTAGCTCTTTCTTTTCTATTAATGATTAGGATGACCTTAAAGTTCAGATCTTAGAACAATTGAATTTTATCACTTACTGGCTTGGAGGACAGCAACATCAAGTCCTTGACTGCATTTTTTTTGTCCAGGTAAGTGAATGATTTGTTATGAACATGATCTTGAGTATAAATATTAACATATTCATTTAGCACCTAGATCTTGGAAAATTGTCCTAAAAAAGTTAATTACCCTTTATATTTAAGCTCCTGTATGCATATAGTTTGTGATTTTGTAGTGTTAGTGTCCACATTTATTTTATATATACCAGATTTTCATTTTATTTTATATTTCCTTATCTTGGATGGGTCAAATGGACCTTGCGTACCAATTAATACAAAAACAAGGTAACAGAAAAATAAATCCAACATCAAATCTTTGTTATTTGACCAACAAACACACAAACAATATAAGTAATAATGGAAAGTTAAAATTAAACATAATAATTTACTTGATTCCCCCCAAAACTAGGGTTGGCAATTTTATGGGGATGGGGATGGGTAATTCCCCACCTCCGACACCAAACTTAATCCTTGAAGCCATCTCCATCCTCGAAATTTAGGAGCCGAAGATGGGGTGGGTAAACCTAGGGGTGTGCAAAACCGTACATTTGATCCAATTTTGCTTTTTTCTGATTTGATCCAAAAATTCGAATTAGATAAAACTCGATCCGAATCCGATTTGGTTTTGATCTAATCTGAATATTTAGATGGGATAAACTGGATATTGGGGCTCCGTTTGGTTCATTATTGGGTAGTTTTTAGAATAATCTTTTGAAAAAAGTTAAATTTGGTGGGTATTACGATGTAGAATTTTAAAAATTAACATAAATACCCCTATATTTGTTTATTTACTAAACACCTCTATAATAAACTATTTAAAGTTAACAAAAACACTCCCAATCCACTTATAAATACAAACAGCCGACCACCACCGCCGGAGGGTGGCCGGAGTTGCCTTATCGGCGCATGACTGGCTCGATCTTGCCGATCCTACGCCGATATGACATTTTCCTACTAGATCCACCTTAGATCTGACCGGAAAAGGCAAGATCTGCGGCTAGATCTGGCCATTGACGGCCAGATTTGGCAACATTTGGTCATCAACGACGGCCAAAGATACGGTCGTCGTTGACATCAACGACGACGGTATCTTTGGCTGTCATTGACGACTGTCTATGGCCAAAGATCTGGTCGAAAAAGGCTAGATCGGCGCATTACCGGCCAGATTCAGCACGTAGTGCGCCATTACACCAGATTTTGGCCAGTTTCTGGCAGTGGTGGCCGGAATCTGGTAAATTTAGGTTACTGGGGTGTTTTTGTCAATTTTTAAAAAATTTTTTGGGGTTGTTTAGTTAAATTAACAAATTTAGGGGGATTAAAGGAAATTAAATAATTTAGAAAACTATTTTCAAAATAGGTGAAATAAAGTTAACTTTTTTGGGAAAACTTTTGGGTAAACTAGAATAGTTTTCCCAATATGTGAACCAAACGGAGCCTCGGTTTTATCATAATTTTTATGGAAACTATTAAGTTGCCCCCTAAAATTTTACATTATTCTTTAGTACCCCTACCACATCAGCATTTCATTACATTTTGACCACCAAAGTTGTCATCGTATTAAAATAGTCCACATACTTTACCAGTTTTCACTTAGGACCCCAAAATAACTTCTTAAAACTTATAGTTATGGACAAAACCGAATCGGATTTCGATATCCGGTTCTTTGTAGAGACGATTCGGTATTTGATTCAGAAATCCGAATCTTCCAAAAATTGATATTCGAATCCGATTCGAATTTTTGGATATCCAAGTTTTTCGGATTGGATATGGACCGGATATTGGATTTTTTAGCACACCCCAAGGTAAACCCGCACAAAAGAGACAAAATCCATTCTCATACCCATACTCATGCCTTCCCCGAAAATTTCAGCACATTTTTTTTTTTAAATGAAAATAAATAAATAAATAATAATTATAATACTCTTTAGAGGTGTATTGGATTATTATTTGAATTTTTTTTGGAATAACTATTAGTCATTATAACGTAAAAAAAAAAAAAAAAATAAATAAAACTTTGTGTTTCAAACCAACATTGTTTAAATTAAAAAACCACACCCAACATATAGATTAAAAAATCACACCCAACATATATATTAAACAATTAATCAAATATATTTATAACCATTCTCATCCAATTTTAATGCAAAAATGAAGGAAAACTTATACATGTCATATATATTTAATAAACTAAATGAAAATTATTAATATATTAACAAATTATTAACTAGGGACGACAGGTACGGGTTTTTGCCCGTGGACACCTCTACCCACCTCCGTAGCCCTCTCCTATATCGGGGATGGAAACTTTCCCTATCCCCGCCCTTGACATTAGAATTTTTCAAGGATTCCCCATTCGATAGGATTATGTTTTTCTGGGTATCCGACCCCGCTAGGGTTTTATTGCCATCCCTACCCAAAACTAAGTTATGCCGCAATATTGTCATGTTGATTGAATTTTTCTCTATAGATAAAAAAATTACGATTGGATCATGAGACTTAAGCTTAAATCTCAGATCACTTTATTATGGTAATATATACTTATAAACTTGAAAGCGAAGTTTTTTCTGATTAATTATTTGCTTCTGCTTCTGTGTCAGTTAGCTCTCTAAGGATAATATAGAAGATGGCGTTGCAGGTTTTGCAAGAGAAATTAAAAAACCTTTGGATTGGATGGGAAATTCGAATGCTGGTTTTACTTAGCCTTTCATTGCAGATCATCCTCATCTTATTTGGATCTCGAAGAAAATACATAGCAAAAAGTTGGATAAAAATTCCTGTGTGGTTAGCATACTTAGCAGCAGATTCGGTGGCAACTGTTGCCTTGGGCAACCTTGCCACCAGCCAAGGAGATTATGGAGTTAATTCTCAAAAACTAAGCCACCAACTTCAGGTTTTTTGGGCTCCATTCCTTCTCTTACACCTTGGTGGCCCAGATACTATAACCGCTTACTCATTAGAAGACAATGAGCTGTGGTTAAGACACTTTCTTGGACTTGTGGTTCAAGTTGGAGTGGCATTCAATGTCTTTATACAGTCCTGGAGCAACAATACCCTCACATTTTTAGCCATTCCAGTGTTTATTGCTGGAGTCACTAAATATGGAGAGAGAACTTGGGTACTTTGGTCTTCAAGTACTGCGAGTTTCAAAGATTCATTGCTCTTAACTCTGGATCCCAGTCCAAGTTTAGTTAAAATCAACATGAAAGGAGATATCGAAGATCAACAAGAATGTAGGGGCTCTCATGACCTCCTTGAAGCTCATTTTTTGTTCAAGAGATTTTCATTTCTATTTGCAGGCCTAGTTCTCTCCAACAATGAAGTGATGAAAAGCCGTAAGATCTTTGATAAAAAATCAGCAGAAGAAGCTTTCAATCTGGTTTCAATTGAGCTGGGGTTCATGTACGATTTGTTATACACCAAGGCCATTGTTGTTTATTCTCGATTAGGAATCTTCCTCCGTTGCATTACATTCCTTTCCTCAATTTCTGCATTAGTTCTCTTCTCAATCTTTATTAATTTCCATGGATATCCATTGACTGACATCTGCATAAGTTACTTCCTCCTACTCGGAGCTGTTGTTCTAGAGGTTTACTCATTCATTCAGCATTTTTCCTCTGATTGGACGAAATTAATCTTTTTGATTAAGTCCAAAAATGCTTATCAGCAAAATATCTGTGGTACCTCAACATGTCATGCTCAATCTAATCACAAGAGATGGTCAAAGTCCATGGGACAGTTCAACCTGATAAGTTTTTGCCTTAAGGAAGACATTTCTATCACATCCATTTATATTAATGGAGTTCTGAAGTTGCTCGGTGTCCGTAAATTCTTCGAGAAGTACCTGCACTTGACTTCCAAAGATGTGAATCTTCAATTGCAAGAAATTGTCAACAGTCAAATCCTAAATCTACCCGTTGATTTGGGGAAGACCATATTGGATCGACGAGGTGATTATGTTCTTAAAGAAAAATACCTTTTTGATCTTTCTGATAATGAGTGGTTTATAGTTGATAGAGAATTTGACGAGAGCCTTCTAACTTGGCACATTGCTATCGATATCTGTTACCACCAAGATTTAGATAAACATGGAGATAATTTTGATCACCTAAAATGCAAACTCAGCACATGCATATCCAATTACATGCTGTATCTCTTAATATTTTGTCCATCATTGATGCCTAAAGGGAATGGTGAGCTAAGATTTAGAGATACATGTGATGAGGTCACGCAATTCTTCGAGTCAGAAAGGGGTGTGATTGGCAATAAAAAAATTGAAGCTTGCAAAATGTTGTTTCAGAGAAAGAAAGAAATAATGCGAGAAGATTTTTCAGTAGTGGATTCAGGGTGTTATCTTGCCAATGATCTGCAATCTCTAGAATTGAAGGAAAATTGGAGCTGTGAAAAAAAGTGGGAGATGATAAGTGAAGTGTGTGTTGAAATGCTAACTTATGCAGCAAATCATTGTGAATGGAAAGAGCATGGACAACAACTTGCAAAAGCTGGAGAGCTGCTCACTCATGTTTCTCTTCTCATGGCACATTATGGCTTTAGTGCACAATATGACCCAAGAGCATGGAATATTTCATAGTTTTTTCTTTTCATTTTTTTTTCATTGTGTAGAAATATGTACATAAACTATTTCTAGGATATAATTATTTTATGATTTGAACATTTCATTTAACATGAAAAATACAAAAGTAAGGGCCTGTTTGTTACAATTTTTTGGAAAATGTTATTTTGAAAAATCTCAGAGACGCTGAACAGGTAAAAAAGCCATAAGCAGCAGGAAACAACCTGCCCTCCCATACAAAAATGTCAGCAGCCCAGAACCATCCACAAGCCTCACAGAAACACAGACAGCAAAAACCACATTAGCAAAAGGCACCCCTGCCACCAGTAGCAGATCTAGAAATTTTTATTAGGATTGAACAAAATAAAAAGTAATTACACACGAATATTTTTGTCTAATAATATTTCTGTTAGAGTGGGTAAAAATCCAGAAATTATACATATATTAATATATATTTTTTTTAAATGTGAGGATGGACCATGGCCCACCCTCAACTAGTGCTGCATCTGCTCCTGCCGACCGCGGACACCAAGCCCCCAACCCGAAGTCGAACCCCACATCCTTCCTCAGCTTAATCCGAAGGCCAGAACCCACCTCACAGAAGCAACAGCCCCCACAAACCAAACAACCAAAAACATAACAGAGAGCACCCAAAGCCATATCCCAGCCACACCTAAAGAGACGACTCCACAAAAAATATAACAGAAGCAACAATGTAACGCACCAAAAATCAACAAACCCAGATAGCAAAAGCACTTCAATTGAGCAAAAGCACAAATAAACATTGATCTGACTCAATAAAAGCATAAAAATCCATGAAAAACAAACACTTTAATGTTATAAATATGACTTTGAAATGAAGACCCACAATATAATATATATAACACGAAAAATAAACAAACCCAGATAGCAAAATCATGTAAAAAACATCACTAGGGCCCAATAATAACATCAATATGAGACATAACAAGACCCATAGTGAAAAACTCCAAAAACCAACAACCCCGAAACCAGATAGGAAAATTACTTACTTATAAAATCACAAGTAAAGGATGAACATAAATCAAAAAGCATCAAAATTAATTGAAAAAAGAAAAAGAAAAATGAGAATGATTACTCGGGCATAGGTTGTGTCGATTCTAGTGGATTCTAAAGCGTCGTGCAACGCCGAATTCACTCACTCACGGTTTTGGTCGGATTTGTGAAGAAAGCAGAAGTGGATTATGGAGCAGACCGAAAGAGAAAAGAAAGAGAACAAGAAAAGAAGAGAGGTCCGTTGACAACAGAATAATTATCAAATAATTTCTTCGTATATAAAATTATAAATATACTGGACTAAGGTTAAAGAATTTGTGTTACAATAGCTTGGTGCGTGTTTGGCTAACTATTTTATCAGTATTTTGACCGGATTTTTGAAATGCTGTTTGTTTATTATTTAAGAATTCTACCCTGATAAATAGATTCCTGACACTATCCTGACATTCTGACCGTTACAGTTTATTTTTTCTTTTTTTTTTCACTGCATCCTCACTGTTTGACCATTTCACTTTCTCTATCACTGCCTCCTCACTACCAGTCGTGCTCAGTTCTCAATTTACATAATCGTTTTAGTGCTTCACTTTCTCAATATCCATCACCACATTTCAGTTTCTGATAATCCATTACCAGGTTCGGTGCTTCACTTCCCAGTTTGCATTACCACCATCTCCCTTTCTAGTTTCCAGTACCAGCACCGTGAACCCCCAATGCCCTCTGCACAAACCCACATTCTAACCCAACGTGAACCCACCGTCAACCCGGAAACCAGCCCACCCGAGCCTCCACGCACACCACCACACCCGACTCTACCCCAACCCAGCCCACCCGAGCCACCACGCACCCGATCTACCCCACACAAGCCCACCCGAGCCACCACGACCCGAGATCTACCCCAACCCGGCCTACCCGACCACCACGCACCACCACGATCCCAACCCAGCCCACCAGCCCACGCACCCCCCCGAGCCCCCACGCACCCGATCTACCCCCACACAAGCCCACCCAGAGCCACCCGAGCCCCCACCACCACCACGACCCCAACCCACCCACCCGAGCCACCACCGCCACCCCGACCACCACGCACCCGATCTAGCCCACACAACCCACCCAGCCACCACGACCCGAGATCTACCCCAACCCCCCCACCCATCCACCACGCACTACCACGACCCAACCCAGCCCACCCAGCCCCCCGAGCCACACCACCACCCCGAGCCACCACCACCCACCGACCCCAGCCACCACATCTCCATCAAACCCACACCCCAATCTCCGCAAACCCACCTCATATCTGCGCGTAAAGACACCAACCGTCACTGCATTTGACACTGATTTTTTTTCTTGAAATGAACATTCTTTGTTTTGTGGAAAATGTGTCCACTAATAAAACAAACCCAAACCCACCTTATATGTATTAAAGCAATTGGGTTTTTTCGGCTTTATTGTTTTAATTGGGTTTTTTTCGGCAATTCTTGTTTTATTTGGGATTTTGTTTTAATTCATTTTTTATTTTATTAGCAATTGCATAATTGTTTTAATTGGGTTTTTATTTTATTCGGCAATTGGCACATAATTGTTTTAATTGGGTTTTTGTTTTGTTTGACAGCTTTTTAATCTCGTGTACCCACGATCCATTTAATTGTATTTGGATGTTTATCTGACTCAAGAAGGGAAAGAGACCCACGACGTTATCCAAATCAAGTTTGTAAGTTTCCGTTACCTATTTGTTTTCAAGACACAGCCGCTATTTTTTTCAATTTTTTTTTGGAAATTTTGTATTAGTCTGTTTTTTTTTCTTTTCATTAATCCTTTAATTTGGACTTTAATAATGCGTTTTGTATTTGGTTAACTGAAATATTTTATTCCGGTTTAACTAACTGATTTATTTGTTCTATAGATTTGACATCGTCTTTAATCGTACCTAGAAATTACGCTCATATGCTATGTCAGCATAATTTTCTCGACGTCGCAGGATGTATTATTACTTGCAACAGAGGCGAAAGTTTCGACGTTTTTCCAGAGTTGGAGTTCGTCATACACCCTGTTGGTCGACAGTGTCTGTATCTTCCCCTGCATTGACGTCTTCAAGCATGTCGGATCGAACGAGGTATACTTTTATATGTGTTTAGTTGATTACGTTAACATGTCAGTATATATTGTGTATGGCTTGGTGATTCGTGTGGTGGCCCCAATGTTGTTTGTCCTGACTACTGTCCTTAGATGGTGACTGTGGCTTGGTCTGCTGAGATGACCCACAGATTTCTGGTCCTGTTATCTGAGCGGGCCAAAACTTAACATGGTACGTCAATAAAACAGCTGATTACCAAGAAATTACGACATATCATCATTGGCTCAGACTCAACGTGACGCAATTAGCCTCTAAGTTCTTTCGCCTGCGAAAACTTTATCAAGCATGGCGGAAATTGCTGCAACACACAGGATTCGGGTGGGATCAAGAGTCACAAATCCAACGTGTCCCGTTGAGGTTTGGCAAGAATATGTCAAGGTAAATATATTTTTTAACTATTATTATTCAACGTCATTGTAAATATACGCATTTTTTCGGACTGCTAAATATTAATATATTATTCGTTTAACTTATCAGCAAACCCCACTGGCGCAACAATTTTACCACAAGGGACTTCCCCACAAGGAACTTTATGAAATAATATTTGAGAAGCAAACTGCCACTGGAAGATATGCGTACACATCTACATCCCAACAGGTGGAGCCCTCCAGTTATTCCATCCGCTCGGCTCGGTTCCTATGGATGATAGCGACTTTGACCTGATCCTGATCGTTTGACAGGGGAAAAACGCCAAACACATCTAGTCATGGAGGGCGAGAAATCGGAGGCATAGAAGGGGGCCCGGACATACAATTGCGATGCCATTTTTAGCTTGACGATGAGCTTGCGAAAACGGACAATGGACCAGGGCTCCGATCGTAGTGGATGAGAGAGGAAGAAGCGAACACTAGTGCTCATCTGATCCTTTCTCCATGAGCAATTGTATTGACATCATGACGGCCATGCAAGTACTGACACAGTTTTTTCTGCCCTGTCATGTACTTATATAAAATCCAGGGTGGCGGAGATATTTGTGAAACTCCCTTGGACGAAAAGGCTAACTGGATTCCACACTTTTTCAAATAATTAGTAGATGACAACTATATTCATAATTGTTTGGCAACAATTTTGTAGTGCGTCAGTGGGCAGTTGTCATTACAATTACAATTTATAACGCTACTGTTTGAACTTATTTATGTGATATTGTAATGTGTAAACACTGTTTTAGATTGTCATTACAATTAAATATTGACTGTTATATTTTTCAAAGTAGTACAACAACTGCTAATTTTTGATAAATGTTTTGCAAATGTGGTTTAAATGGCGTCGTCTAGCCGTACAGGAAGAAGACAACGTGCTACAGATGAGAGGGACAAAGAGAATACGACAGTATAGCCATTGCCCTATGCGGTGTTGCCACGTTGAGCAAGTCACGCCTCAACCACGACATACACTGTATTACTGGTCATCAGTACATGTTGGAAGTCCTCAACGGTCATCCTGACAGGATCTATGACAAGTGCCGCATGGACAAGACTGTTTTACATTGTTATGTGAATTTTTGTCCGATCAAGGCAAATTGCAACCAACCGGAAACGAGTTTAGAAGACAAGTATGATATTTAACAATCGTTGGAAAAAATGAGACAATCACGAACGATGATGGAGTTCCAACATTCGGGTGAGACGATCTCTAGACATGTTACCGCAGTTTGCGATGCTATATGTGAGTTGAAGACAGAGTTTATCGACCACCTGACTTCAATGATGTTCCATGGAATATCAGCCAACAGAAAATATTACCCTTTCTTTAAGTGTACTGGTTCATTATGTTTGGTATTAGTAGATAGTTAGTTCATTGTGTTATTAATTTGTTTAGTAGGTTAATATTAGTGAAATGACTCATTTTCATG